CATTCTTTAAGTGTTCTTTTAAGCCCTCTTCTCATTATTCTTGTGCTTAGTTAATTAGAGACTTTTAGTTGAGTAGTACTTCATTCCCAAATGGCAGCAAATCTGCACAAGAGGTCACAGCTCCTTAGCATGCTGTGCGTGTATGTCTATGCAATGAGAGAACGTTGCATAGGTTAAGTGACGACATATGTTTTGGCTGATAGTCCAGGGTTTTTTTTGCTTGATTATTCTGCATCTGTAGGTTGTTTTCAGAACAGAGCAACATGATGCCTATTTGGTCCTACTCACATTCTCCCTTAGCCTTTAAACCACTAGTCCTTAACCACTGAACTGTAGTCTTCAATTTGAATCTGGAAAAAAATGGCTGCACTAAAGAAAAACTATTCTCTCAGACAGCATAGGCCCCTCATGTGTCAACTGTGAAGCCAAGTATATTTCAGTCCTTACATCGAGGTAGGAAATCACCGCCACCCAGCTTTTTTTGGCTTACAACCCACACGCTTATTCAGAATGGCCAGTGGATTATAAGAGTCCAAAGGCATCTGGAGGGTCACAGTTGCCCGATCCTGATCTACATGGTAGAATGAACTCTGTGTATGGGCAAGTACCTTTCAAACCAAGTGAGTGAAAACTAGCCAGGTGAGCCCTGCTATTAATGTAGAATTTTCACACCAGTGATTTATTTATAGCCATTTTAGGAGCAAAGACACCTTGCCTCTCAAACAATTGCTTTACTGACAAGCAGGATCATGTAAATGTCCCTCTCTTGTCAACCCACACCAAGGTATTCTGTGGAAGGAACCTGAAGGAGTTTTCTTATACGTTGAAGAGATTAGGGACGTTAGTAAGAGTCTCAAAAATTATTTACATCTAGGAGGCTGATCTGAAGCAAAAAATAAAAATAAAAAAAAACCCCGCAAAATTTGGAACTCATTGATTTGATATTCCTTTTAGGCTCTGGAAGATACTACAACTGGGTGATAACTGTTACATGTTTGTTTGATATTTATATTCCGATTCTTTTGTAGCTATCTTGTTTATACCAAATAAGAGGTGATTGAAAACATGGCCAAAAGTGTATCTCCTTGTAACTGTTGTTCATGAGCAATGTTGCGTGTTGTTTAATTCTTTAACGTTTAGAAATCCATGCGGAGTATAGAGTAGGCTTTTTGTACTGAAGTTGTTCTTTCGTATTTGGAATTGTTTGTCTTTTTAAGTTGTCCTGGAATAATTTGTGATGAAAGATGGTACAGAATAATTTGAATAAAAGTACATTGTGTACCTACATCTGTGAGTCACTGTTCAGTGGATAGCTGTTCAGTGCATAAATTATATTGCTAATTATTCTAAAGTATTTCAGATGTTGGGAAGGATGGGCACATTTCTAAGCATCAGGCATCTCTCCCCACCCTTTTTTTCCTGTACTGGAATGTTGAACAACTCCTCATAACATAGAAGGTAATACGTAGAACAGCAAGGTGTTTCCCCTTCATCCCAGACGGGATGATTAAAGGGTGTAAAGGTTTTCACAAAGAGTTATTATGTTAAACACTCTGCTTATATTAACCTTTATAGGCCTTAGGTATAAGTGGGCCAATATGTGAGTAACAGAGTTCTGTGTATCTGACTTTTGAATTAAGGTGATGATCGTCAAAGTAACCTTACTGTGGTTGTTTGGCTGTGTTCTGGAGGTTTTTCTTCCTAACGTTTCACCAGTCTCTGTGGCCGGCATCTTCAGAGGACAGGAGCTAGAATTCTGTCTGTGTTCTGGTGTAGTGTGTGGGATAGTTTATTTATTTTTTGGATTTATATCCCACACCATCTGGCAACCAGGCCACTCTGGGCGGCTAATAGCAATATAAACAGCACAATATCAAGAAGAGATTGATTTTATTGCTATTGTAGTGTTGCAGACATTTGTCTTTCTAAATTTTAAATAATTGTACCCACCGAATATCCACTGCAATAAAGAGAAGCAATTTTTTTTCAAGATCAACCCCAAAATTATGACTTTGGGAGGAAATGCTACTGGATACATTAATAGACTACTGAGAGAATTGATATTTTGAACGATTTTTCATCAGTGTCTTCTAAGAAAATGAATCTATCTAAAGTGATAAACTTCAAGAATAGAAAGAATTGACTGAATTCTTGGATTTAATTTAGTTATTGAATTTGTATAAGCAATAGTTTCAGTTTTATGTGTGGTGCCATTTCAAACAAATCAGTTTACTACTAAGTTAATTGATTTAAATAATCAAGAAAACAAACAACAGATAATTGACATATTGAGATTATAAACTTCAGTACTTTAAAACTTCTTTGTGGTAGTGCTAATTAGCTTAATGCCTTAATTTAAAAGGCAAAAAATGATTCAAGGAAATAAAGGCTGTAGTAATATCAAGAGATATATCAAAATTTCAGATGTGAATTTATTAGGTAAATTAGGGAAGCATACATATGTAGCAACAAGTGCAAGGAAAAAATGAAGTATTTATTAATGATTATACAACATTTCGGACGTGGTGGCGCTGTGGGCTAAACCGCAGAAGCCTGTGCTACAGGGTCAGAAGACCAAGCAGTCATAAGATCGAATCTACGCGACGGAGTGAGCGCCTGTTGCTTGTCCCAGCTCCCGCCAACCTAGCGGTTCGAAAGCATGCAAATGCGAGTAGATGAATAGGTACCATCTCGGTGGGAAGGTAAACAGCGTTCCGTGTCTAAATCACACTGGCCATGTGACCACGGAAAGATTGTCTTCGGACAAACACTGGCTCTCTGGCTTGAAGAGCGGGATGAGCGCCGCCCCCTAGAGTCGGACACGACTGGACAAAAATTGTCAAGGGGAATCTTTACCTTTACCTTTATACAACATTTAATTGTTACAGTTTTACTTTAGGGGAAAGATGCATTTTTTTCATCCAAGCCTGTCCTGGAATAAGAAAAATAAAGTTTAGCATCTTTTAATGAGTGTTCTAAATGCCTCTAAGAAACATTCTCTGGGAGGCTAATTCCAGAGCTGAGGACTTGCAAAAAAAGGGACCATTTCCAACAGTTTCTATCACAAGCTTGCAAACGGAGTTTTGTCTTCCTGGCTTATACTGCACAATGCCTTCTTTTCTTTCAGGTTTTTGCTTACTGAATTCCCAGGTTTTTCCTTACTGAATTTCCATAAAAATAATTATTAGTGAGGTAATGAATATGTCTAGATCAAAGTCTTCAATGAGGGGCAGTTCTGCTAAAACAATTTATAATATTATTAGGGCAAATTATGGAAGGAGGAGATAGGGTACTAATGGGTGACTTTTCAACTATCTTTGCATTTTCTGAATCAGTATGTGTGATGAAAGGTTAGCTATCTAAATGGACCATGCCTTAAAACAGTCATGGAAGAGACCGGAGGGGAGCTGACCATAGACTTAATCCAACTGGTACCAGGCCTAATAGAGATGGTAGAATGATCACACCCACCAAAAACAGTTACCACAGTGGTATCAGATTTGATGTATGCATTGCTTTAAAATTGCTAAAGAAGTCCAAGAGTTGTATGTGACTTCAGAAGAAGGAACTTTAAAATGAGAGAGGGGCTAAAAAAAAAAATTAGAAGCATCCATTCATAAGGGTCAGCTCTTTCCAGAATGCTTATTATTTAAAAGTACAGTAATGGAATAGAATAGATAAAATCTGTTTTCAGAGCAGAAACCACAAAATCCAGAATTCCATCAGGAGAGTTATTGAGCAGTGTGAAGCTGTTACAAAAAAACAAGGGTTCCTCCAAGAAATGAAAGTCTTGCCCTAATATGGAAAACTGGAAACACATACTTGGACGAAAGAAACATGAGTGGATAATAGGGCATAAAAAGAAAAATTTGAAGAGAATGTCATTAATAACTTGAAATAATTTCTTAGTGTTACCTTTATTGGTGACAAGTGATTAGTGATATACAGTGGTGCCTCGCTTAGCGATGTTAATCCATTCTGAAAAAACATCGCTAAGCAATTTAATCGTTAAGCGATTTTTAAAAGCCCATAGAAACACATTAAAACTTGATTAATGCGTTCCCATGGGCTTTAAAACTAACCTTATGCGAAGATCCTCCATTGCAGCAGCCATTTTCGGTGCCTCAAAAGTGAGGCAACACAGCGGGCGGCCATCTTGTTTTCCAGCAGCCATTTTGAAACCGCCAGTCACCTGGCTGGAAATGGGGGCTTTGCAATGATCGCTTCCCCGCGATCATCGCAAAGCGAATTTTCCCCATAGAGGCCATCGCTAAGCGATCGCTCTGGTGATGGCCAAAACCCCATCGCTAAGTGATTTCATCGCTCAACGGAGCGATCGCTAAGCGAGGCACCACTGTAATTAGAAATACCTCAGAAACAAGTAGCAGTTGGACCACTGAATAACAAGAGGAGAAAGAGTACTAGAAGGAGGGAAAGATAATGAACAGAACCTAAATGAATTGTCAGCTCCACCACCAACCTTTGTTTTCACCAGAGAAGATGTAGGGCAGATATATATGCCTGGATTTATATTTTTAAAGGGAGAGTCTGTGGAATTGAGCTACAAGTAGAGATGACAAAAGCTGAGGTTTTAGATCTTATTGGCAAATAGAACATCAACAAATTATTGGGGCTGGGTGTGCCCACTCTTAAGTTCTTAAGAGTGAGCACATCCATTCCCAATAATTTGTTGATGTCCTATTTGCCAATAAGATCTTAAGTTCTTAAGAGTACCAAAACATTAAACTGTTGCTATTCTAGCAAAAAAACATATAACATACGATAACCCCCTGTGTCAAGAAACAGATATCTATTTTTTATTCTAATTCTGCCTTTGTCAGAAGTCAGTTGAGTTGTTCAACTGCAAAACAGGTTTGCTTGTCAAAAAATGAGGTTGGTGACAAGGATGTTATGAGTGGTCCATATTTCTCCAGAGAAAATTGGATAATTGGTTATGCCATTGCACTGTTCTTCTAACTATGCACTCTTCTTTCTTTCAGGCAGCATTTACAGTCCTCTTGGGTCCGTTCACCTTTTTTAATGTGCAAAAAACAAAGTATCTGCAGATCATTACATCAATGATGAGGTGGATAGGTAAGTCAGCAACCTTCTACTACAGTATAGTAGTAAATTAGACTACTTGTATGAGCAATCATTTAAGCAAGTGAGAAAGAGGCTTGATCACACAAGGTTACTAATGATACAGGAATCACAGCAGTGTAGCTTTTTCCATCACCTTTCAGCAGGATGTAGCTGTTAGTTGTTCATGTCATAAAATTCTGATCCAGAGCCAGACTTCCTTCTGCATTTCTTAGTATCTTAGAGACTTAGAGAAAAAATAACTTCCATGTGGAAAGAAGGAATTGCAGTTTAGAAAAACAAATACATTTTATTAGAAGATATAATTGGATCCAAAGTGTTTGATTTCTAGCAATGAAAAGATATCTCCCTTAAAATTGAGACCTTGAATGCATAGGGCAAGAGTATGATATTGAGCCTAAGAGTAAAGAGATCAGGTACACTATTTATATACTAGTTTATCATTGGATAGTTTGTAGAGTATTTGAAGATATTATCACCCTAATGAAAGGGACTACTCTTAGGATTCTGGTATTCAAGGTCTTATTGATTATCTTTTTGTAACATCATTTTTCTGAAATCTAATGTAGCAAGTGCAACACAAATTGATGCAATGTCTTACAAAGATTATACCTTGCTGTTCATTGTCAGTTAAAAAGCTATCTAACAGTTAAAGAAACTTATGTTACAAAGAATCAACATTATTCAAAAGTATCTCAGATTTTCTTTTAACTAGTTGGACATCTGTAGTCAATAATCAAACATGATTTAAGCTTTGTAGAACTTGTGTATAACAAAGGAGAAACATTAAGTCTTTGTTTTGTGTGCAACACAACAGAGGTTAGCTTAGAGGAGGATATCCATCCCCTTTTCTTTTTTACATTTTCAACATAGCGAAGGTGTATCTTTATTTATTATATTCAACTTTACTGTTGTTATATGCTATTTCCAGACTATGTTATAACAATTTGCCTTCATCATTATAGACATGTTTTTCACTATTCTTTTATTCCACATTTTATTCCAATCTTTAAAAAATTTCCTCATTCAGATCTTGCCATAAATCTTTTAACACACTTTTTAAATATTCCACCTATGTTAACATTTTATCTATTGTGCTTATTGTTCCCTTTCTTTTTTCCTTGTTTCTGTTTTTTCTTTTTAATATAATCTCTCTTTCTATAATCTCTCCTATAATTTTATCGTAATTCTGCCCTCTCCTCTTTTGTTTTCCATTCTTTCATCTATTTCTCTAATGGAACTATGTTTAACCATGACATACCCGGTTTCCCCCAAAATAAGACCTAACCTGAAAATAACGCCTAGTATGATTTTTCAGGATGCTCATAATATAAACCATACCCCAAAAATAAGCCCCAGTTAAGTGAAACCCCACCCTCCACCATTGCGCAGCAACAAGATGACATGAGTGTATTTGAATAAATGTGGATTGTTGTACATGCAAAAAATAAAACATTCCCTGAAAATAAGCCCTAATGTGATTTTTTTGGAGCAAAAATTAATATAAGACCCTGTCTTATTTTTGGGGAAACACAGTACCTTCTCCTAGTATCTCTCTTATATGTTCCTTATCTTGCATTTGTTTAGTCATTCCTCTGATTTATTCCAGTGTTGTCCCATTTTTTTACTCATTTTCCTGCACTAGAAAAATTTCTGATAGATCTGAACATATTGCCCCTCTTTGCAGCGGTCATGAGCAGAAGAAAGGAGTGGAAGTGGGGTCCGGATAGCCTAGGAGCACTTAAGAACTGTCATCATTTCTATTCTTTTCCCTATCCAACATATGTTGGGTTGCCCCATCAACAAGCCGTCTGATTTTGTGCTGCAGTTCAGCATCATGGAGGTCCATAACACAATATACTTCTGCAGTTTAATTGTGGGATTGGGGGCTAGTATCATATGCATTACAGAGATCTTAGTTGGTTACTGGGAGGAATTCATTTTTCTCAATTTTCTCTAACTGGGTAAGTTTACAGAAACAGTATAGACTTTGAAGGTCAGAAAGACAGAATTGCTCTAATCTGCAAGGACTTGGCCTCTAGTTGCTAGGAGACCTGTTCCAATCCAAAATTGGTCTTGTGTTTTGTGCATGGTGTTAGAATCTAGGATTGAGAAATTCCATGGGGATTCTGTTTGTGTAAAAAAAAAGATTTCTCATCAGTCTTCCTGCCAGATATGAAAGTGTCTGTCCCAAACATGGTACTGGAATCTCCCAGGACAATTATCATAGATAGCTTTCATATTCACACTAATGGTGCATTGTTTGGGTCACCTTAGGACTTCATGGCTGCTATGACTAGCCTGGGGCTGTTTCACACATTCCACATGGTATTTGGACTTGATGTTTTTGGTGGCCTAGGGTTTTGTTGATCTAGAACTAATAGGGAATGGTTTTTGTGACCATGCTGTCACAAGGAGATACTGTATTTTTCCATGTATAAGACGCCCCCCCCCACTTTTATAACCCAGATTTTGGAGGGGGAAGGCAGGGATCCAAGCGCTTTGATTCCTGCTTTCCCCCTCCACTTTCTTTGCAAAATTATATACTACCGTGTATAAAATGACCCTCAATTTTTCCTCTAATTATTTTAGGAAAAAGTGTGGTTTTATACATGAAAAATGGAGTACTTTTGTTGGTGAATTTAGTAGGCAGTGGACATTCTTCTTTGCAAGAATCATGAGCTTAATTAAATTGACCCACTGCTCCTTACTGAATCTAAAGGATTTCTGGATGCCCTCAGGAAGTTCTGAGTTGTCATGACCTGTATTCCTTTATAAACTGTGGTCTCCCTCTGACACAGTGAGATAGATGCAGGGGGCGGGGAGTGGTTTGAGAGAAGTACTACCAAATGTCCTGTTCTGCCCAGTAAACTCAATTTACTAGCGAGTTAGGGGCTATGAAATGAGCTGGAATAGGTCTGGAATGCAAGGTCACAGTCAATATAGCATGAATGCAAGGATAAGCACACCATCAGGCCTACCTTCTGACAGTGAAGGCAGCAAAGAGACATTTGTTTTCTACCATCATTGCATCTCCTGTGCTCCTTCATGAAAATGGTGATCTCATAAAATAATGTTCTGAATGAAAATCCCTTCTCCACTTACTGGCCCAGTTCTGATCACCTCATCTTCTCTCAGGTTGATACATCATGCAGACTGCAATCTGTCCTTTGACAAGTTGACAGTTTTCTAGGAAAGACGGGTTACTTACCTGTAACCATGGTTCTTCAAGTGGTCATTCTGTGAATCCACACAAACCCACCCAACCTCCCCACTATCCGTCCCTGTATGACTACAACATTTTGGGTATCTAGGGCGGATAAATGGAACTGAGCGTTGGGTGGGCGGAGCATGCGCAGTGTAGGTCATTCTAACAATGTTTCTTTTACAGAGCTCTCGAATGTTCCGAGGAGACCAGCGCAGGCGCTGATTTAACCCTTATTGTGTGGATTCACAGAATGACCACTTGAAGAACCATGGTTACAGGTAAGTAACCCGTCTTTTTCTAGGGTGTAGGCATATGATCATTAAACCAGGGTACACAAGCTGAGCTTTGCCTGTGTTTGCCAAGAAGATAAAGGCAAAAGCAGATTGGGCATGATGTAGAAGGGAACGTGCTCATTAGCTTGAATCCTTTTCAGGATCAGTAAAGGACACATGGCCCACAGAGAAAAATGAATGGCTAGGACCATGCCTTTCTGGACTATTGAGTGCCAGTTATTTTCAGGGTTAAAAAAATTATGAAGTTAATGCTCTTATTGCAAAGTTTTTCTTCTGTTTCCACAGGCAGCAGTAATTTTCTTAAAAAGATTTTAAGAGTGTTTATGTTCATGTTGATCCAGATTGTTCTGGATACCTAAAAACTCCTCTTTATTGCCTGAGCACACCCCACTCTGCAAATTCTCTGCTTCTAGTCGATGCAGGGATCTTATTAAGTGAAATTGCAAATGAAAAAAATGTAATCCCTTCTTGACTTGAATGTGAAGTTCCTTTTTGTTTACAACATTCTCATTAACCTTGAAGAAGGATACAGAAGCGAGTGAAGTTGTCATTCTTTTCTCCTAGTTTCTTAAGCTCCATCAATTTGGACCACAGGTCTGTAGCAAATAAAGCATGTCCAAGCTCATTACAAGGTGGTGTTGCCAAAGGTGTTTCTGGAAGCCATCTTGAGCTTTCATGCCAAACACTTTGTGTTACACAGGCTGATCCAGGTTAACATTTTGCACTGTTAACGGGCATGCATTATGGACTGGCGTACTTTCTCTCTGTACTTGGTTTGGTTAATTTACTTCAAAGTCTGCTATATTTGACAAAGGGAAGGTCAGGGTCTCTTCACGGTGTTACATGAAAGCTGATCTACCCGAGTCAACATAAAATCTGTCATAGGGCTTATTTTACACTCAGCCTTACATTGAGACTAGCTAACATCAAACTGTAGTGCTTCAAGAGTAATGTTAGATTAAGGTAACTAAGGCTGAGAGGATAATTCTTGACAATCTTAAGAGTGCCACATATGAAGCTCATCTGGGGCACCTATACTCTTCAGTTATAATGAGAGCAGTGATTTTGTTCTGAAGACAACCATCCACTGAAACAGCAGGCCAGCAATATGGCATAAGAAATCCTTGAATTCATTAGGCCTTCAAAATGCAAGTTTGATTATCCACAGCCCCTGACAGCTGGGTGGAATCTGTTCACTGAGCTTTTGGAGCATGGTCTGGAAGTAAAAGGTTGGCATGATGAAATAAACTCTCTGTCATAACAAATAACAGGAAGAAGGACACTCGGACACATCACTTGAAGTGGAGCAAGCTCCAGATAAAAGCACATCTCAACACAGAAACCTGAATTCATTTTAGCTTCTCTAGAGATCTTTATATGTGTATGTAAACAACAGACTCTTCCCAAAATCCTGCTCTTGTTTTTCATAGAACCTGTTTGATCCTTAGTAATTCTCTTTTTTTGTGTGTGGCAAGTGCTTTGATGCAATAGAT